ATATCGATGAAAAAACAGCGCTTATAGTAGGTGGAGTCGCGGCTGGTGTACTTCACTATTTTTACAACAGAAAAGTGCATTTTGACCCACAAACAGTATCTGCCAACAAAACATTTGACCACAACCATCATGTTCTAGTCTGTTGGATACAAAAACATAAGGAAAATCTAAGTTCGCATTGTTCTACAATGGGGCAGTTTGAGGGTCTGGCCACTAAATAATGGCTGGGTAATGTACCATTTTCATTGTATGTCACTCTTTGTTACGTTTGATGTATTTATTAAATTATTTTTTTTTGGGGGGGGGGGGGGGAGAGAAAGATAAATACCTTCTTTTGGAAGTAAATAGCCTTTCTGTACATGATACCTAGTACTAGTAACCAAGGCATGCATGTTTGCACACATCAGCATTTTGATAAATATACTCACACGCAAAAGAAACGCAATTGGTTTTAAGCAAATAGGTAACAAACACAGAACCATAAATTGATACGAGTTTTAGCATGTAGTGTAGCCTGATGGTGTTATCAATATTTTTGGTTCCATTTTGGAAGCCCCAAGTAAAAACGCAACATAAAAAAAGAATCGCCAAAACGCACCATATCAATGAATATGTGGGTGTCATGCACCCATTTCTCGCGAAATCGAAAATGCACGAACTGTCACGAACTGTAGTGGGTATAAAACTGTGGCCGATTCTTGGACCTACCAATCCTTGGTCAACAATGCCACGCCTAAATCAAATTCAGAGAAACCAGGCTATTGGACGTTTGGAAGCTGGAGAGCCTGTCCAAGATGTTGCCCGTCATTTCAACATTAACATAACCACAATTTACCGTCTCCTGCATCGATACAATGCTACAGAGACCACAGATGACCTTCCTCGGAGCGGTCTTCCTAGGGTCACCACACCTCGACAAGATCGGCAGATTACCCGTCAACACCAGCGACATCCGTTCCTAACTGCAAGTGAAAGTGCTTGACAGACCATAGGAACACATAATCGACACATTAGCCGGGACAGAGTCATCACAATTGGCGTCATCGTGAGTGGAGGCGTGTCATCTTCTCTGATGAAAGTCGCTTTTGTGTCTCCCATGCAGACGGAAGAGTCAGAATTTGGCGGCGTCGAGGTGATTGTTTCGCTGACAGAAACGTTGTGGAAAGGGATCCATGGGGTGGACCTAGCGTCATGATATGGGCAGGGATTGGACTGAATGCGAGACTTGGACCCATGTGCTTTCTGACTGTTGGTCAAGGTCGGGGACATGGCGTCACAGCTCAGCGGTATATCGACCAAGTGATCAGACCCCATGTTGTTCCATTTTTTGCACAACATCAACAACACATTTTCCAGCAGGACAACGCTCGTCCCCATGTTGCCAGAGCTACCATGGCCTTTCTGCAACAACCGTGTTCTACCGTGGCCAGCCCTCAGCCCTGATCTGAACCCCATCGAACACTTGTGGGATGAGGTTCATAGGCCTCTGGACAATGTGCGCCCAGTCCCTACAACTGCCGATGAACTACGCACAGCTGCTCTGGATGTGTGCAGGAGGATCCCTAGGGTCTGATCCACTCAATGTACAAAAGATGTGTGGCAGTGATCAATGCTAATGGTGGTCACACCAGGTATTGACTGACATTTTGGGTATTGACCCGAAACTGTGTAAGCCCTTAACATTTGAAAAAAACAATTATGTCATCTGCCTTTTAATCCATTAAACTGTCTTCAGTCAAATTTTTGTCAATCTTGCCCTATTAGTATTACTTGTCTTTACTGTTGAAAATAAATAACATGTATACTGCATACTCGACTTGCGTTTCTTTTGCGTGTGAGTATATATTACTAAATAAACTCCTAGCCAGTGTTCAAGGTAATCTTTTGACCCTTTGAGTATGTATATTTACTCAATAATATTCTCATTGAGTAATGCATAACCAGATTTTTAAATCACATTTACTGCAGATCTAAACCTCCTGGCCATGGACCAGGGAGAGTATGGATCACATTCAGGTACTGGTAATACTGCTAAAACCGCTGAAGTTAGATTTCTAGTTTCGAAACATGGGTGCCAGCTCATGACATGTCCACATGCTACTGTTCAGAAGTAGTTCACCATGACCTATTTCTGTTGCCACACAACACTGTGACCATGACCGTATCTATACTCAACAACAAAAGTTCCTGTAACACCAATATTTTAGTGTATTTTTCAAACAAGTTAAGTTTGGTTTTCAATATTGTTGTACATGTATGGAATCAAGTCACAAAAACGCAACTGCTACAGAAAAGCATGCATTCTATGCAAAAGCTGATTTTTATGCAAACCCCATGCATTTCACTACGCAAGAATGGGTATAAAAACATGTGTGTTAATGGGATTCCATATGCATTGTTTAGCATCGTTTAGCATCGTGCTGAGAACCATTCAGAAAAACAACAAAATTACACAATATTTCAACATTACAAAATGCCACGCCTGTCTGAAAATGAGCGTCTGTGAGCCATTGGTAAGCTTGAAGCAGGATCGAGTCAACGTGATGTTGCAAGACAATTTAACATCCACAGAAACCCCATTTGGCAAAAGACGAATGCAGTCAGAGACCATCCTCGGAGTGGCAGGCCACGCGTAACCAATAATCTACAAGACAACTGGATTTGAACAAAACACCTACAAAATCGATTCCAGCCAGCAACAGAGACTGCAAGAAGCATCCCTGGCCTTCGACGAATATCTTCACAAACCGTACGTCGTCGCCTCAGATGTGCAGGGACTGTTGCCAGAAGACCTGCCAAATGGCCCATTTTGACAGGAAACTACCGTCAAGCACGTCTACAGTGGTGCAGACAGCGTCTATGCTGGACGGCCATGCAGTGGGGACAAATTCTATTCACTGACAAGTCTGGTTTTCACCTCAGCCACAGCGATGGACGGATTCGAGTGTACCGACGTCGAGGTGAACGTTATGTCATTCATTGTGTCATAGAAGAAGATCGGTTTGGGGGCGGCAGCGTTATGGTATGGGGTGGGATTACAGCAAGACAGAGGACCCATTTGATAGTGGTAGAAGACGAGATCATCGGCCCTGTTGTTCTGCCGTTTTCGTGTCGTCATGGCCTAGGCATTACCTTACAACATGACAATGCCCGGCCTCATATTGCTCGACTTGTTCAGGATTCTCTTCAACAAAACAACGTGAATGTCATCACCTGGCCGACTCGCTCCCTTAATCTTTCACCAATCGAGCACCAATCTCTCACCAATCGAGATGGCTCGGTGCCTTTGACGTCAACCACGTGTTCCACAGACACTCCAGGAACTTCGAAACATGCTCCAGCAGATATGGACAGATATCCCACAGGACTTTGTGCGACGCCTGGTCCATTCCATGAGACGAAGATGTGTTGCTCGCATCACAACCAGAGGTGGACACACATGCTCTTGATTTGTAAATTGACATTTTGGCATGTACATGTTTTTTATGAAATCATGCATTTTCTGAAGTCAGTATGGCAAATTAAACCATTTGAAAACTTACAGGAGTCTTTAATCTGTTGGAAACCGAAATTGTTTTTGATTTGGTAAAAATCATACCTTTGCATTTTATTTAATGTCACAGGAACTTTTGTTGTTCAGTATATATACTGTAAAACGTGAAATTAATGCGTCTCCAAAAGAATGCAATCGCTGGCCCATAGCCAAAAATGCGGTTCAATATGAATGCGACACCCCTGCCTCTCAAGCATTAGTGGACTTCTATCTAAAGATGTCCTCAGTCAGGTTTAGAATCGTCACCTTAATCCAACCTTACATTAATCCAATCACACACCAAATAGCACCGCCTTTTAGCGCCGAGTAAAGCATTTCGCAAAAACAATACATGCGCGCTGGCTCGTGTCGGCCTTTGATGCAGTCGTAAAGAACAAAGGGTGGCGTCTGTCTGGACTTGAAGGTGTGATCAGTGATGACATAAGTGAGTAGAACTCTTGTCTTGACCCCAGCAGTGACAATTCACAGGATGTAATTAGTGTTTAAATGACATTGTTTATATACTTTATATACAAGTGCTGCTCAATAAACAGTGGTGTGTAATACATCAGTGTATGTCTAAGTTGGTATTTTTGCTATCCAAAACGTCTTATTGTTGATATAAATGCAACGTTAAAAATGCGAGCAAAGACCTCTCGCATTTTTCGGATTTAATTCACGCTCGCGTTAATTTCAAGATTTACAGTATCAATCACACTCCTGAGGAGATTACAAGATCAGAAAAGGTCCCCAGTAACCCAGACCCAATGCTTGCTGAATGTGTTTGTTCATTGCATGGCTGATGTTCCTTATAATATCAACTAAAAAATTCTGATGATGCAGCTGCTTGATGATACTACGTTTCTGTTGAATTTGGTGAGGTACAGTTTATGGAGATTGTATATGTTTATCATCGCCCCTTTGTAGTTTCAATTCTATGTAGATATTTTGTGTCTGAGAGAAGATCATAAAAGCTGTCATGTCAAATTTCCTATGTTGTCACTAAGTTTCAAGAAAAATATTTCATGACCAGTGCAAATATAATCAAGAAATGTTAACAATTCTAGAAGAGGAAAACCGGTTACTGACAATGCAAAGTTTGACCCAAGGTTTCACAGTGTCATAACACAATCAGCCAGCTTCTCCCTCTGCTGTGGTGGGAAACTCCCTCATATGATAAGCCCAAGGTATGGCGCATGTACACATACAATGTGGGGAACATAGAGCTCTTCAGTCAGAATGACAAACATATTCTCAGTGATGCATGCCACCATGAAAAGCCATCACACTTTGTAAAATTTTATGTCATTTGAGAATCATATAATGTACTAAAAACTTGTAGCTATATTAAACTGAATTCAGCTTTGATGTCTTTGCAATGCCAGATACATCATGCTTATGGAAACATTACATTCTTAAGAATAGGGTTGGTTAGATGCATAAGAAAACATGTGATCTGTAAATAATTATGAATGGGAAAAGAAATTGTTAATCATGCAAGTAAAGGTCTTTTGAGAAACACAAAACATTTACTCTAAGGTGTAATCGATTCACTTTTCTTGACATCCCTCAAAAACTTAAGTGGACCCTTCTTACACTCTGCAAAACAAACATTACCACTTATCTAAGTTTCAGTAGGGAAATACAGTGCTGACTACATAACAACTGAACTAAACAGAGATATACAATACACAGTGTATACCAGCGAACTAGGTGCCAGGCGACAGACTTGGAGGAGAACAAAGGAGCTGATAACACAGGTGAGTGCAGTTATTCACTTCCCACCTTGGAGTAAAATGTTCAATAGTCTCAACATTTTTTTTGCAGCAAATACTTACATACATTCTATACAGGGTCTTACCTTGACTTACAAAATGGGTGTTATTACAAAATAATTAATTCTAGGGGTCCTTGGGGAAATATGAGGGTCCTGTAAGTAATGAAATGGCATAGTGTACTCCACATTTTGAAAATCACTTTAGAGTCTGAGATGAATCAACAATCATGTGGACAGTGGTCACGATTTATTGATAAAATGACACCCATAACTGCTCTTGATGTGCTGTACATGTTGGGACACAGTTTATTCTTTTCTGCGTCCAATCTTGACATTTGTGCAAACTGGACACACATTTGTGCATCACGTAAAACCCTGCTATAACAGTGTTGAACATTCAGTGGGGTCCTAAAGTGTCCAACCCCATCCGACCTCAGTCCCTTTATAAGATTTTAAAAAAATCCTAGATCTTTTACTTGTTACTAGCAGGAACTTGTCACTTCATTTCTACAGCAGAAACACAGTGCCATATTTGTTTTCATCATGCACACACATTTGAAACACATGAATCAGAGTGAAAGGAAACACACTGAAGCCAAGCTACTTTAGTAGTATAGGTAATGGGGGTTCTGCCGCAACTCCACTGGAGCCAGATTCATATACCTACACTGCTACTACAGAGGGAATTTTTTATGCCAAAATGATGATGCGATTCAACGATAGTCATGAGTTGTATTAAACGAAATATCAATATTAATTAATAATGAATAAAATTTACTATAGCCCACGAGGATATTGGAAAGGTGTAGGAGCAATAAAAAAATTAGCGGCTAAGGTATCTAAAGATGTGGCCAAGGATTGGTTAAAGAAACAAGCGATGTGGCAAATATATTTACCGGCACCGCGTTATATACCGAGGAAGAAGTGAAGTTCCTCAGGCTGACCTCTTGTTTCTTCCCCACGATAAGGTAAAACGCAAAACGTATAAATACGCTTTAACAGAAGTGGATGTGGCTAGTCGATACAAAGAGGCTGAGCCATTAACCTCGAAAGATTCAACAGAAGTAGCTAATGCACTGAGTCGCATATATAAATGCGGACCACTAAAATGGCCTAAGCTATTTCAAGTAGATCCCGGTCGCGAGTTTATGGGATCGATAACTAAACTGTTAACAAAGCACGATGTCGAAATCAGGCGTGGTGAAAGAGAGGCCCACCGCAGTCAAGCTATCGTCGAAAGATTTAACAGGACATTAGCGGAACGTTTGTTTGGCTATCAGTATGGGATTTAAATGAAATCCGAGCGATTGAGATCAACCGAATGGGTGACACGATTATCAGCCGTTGTATCAGCGCTGAATAATGAAGTAACAAGATTAATAGGGAAGAAACCATCCGATGCTATTAAAATGAAATCCGTGACTTCTGAATCTTCAGCACCGAGGAGAGGCAAAGAACGAAAACTTCCGGATAGAGTAAGGGTAAGATATTTATACCAGCCTGGTGAACTCGAAGGAGGCCTACGTCGCGCAACCGATCCCATATGGTCCCTTAAGACGTATAACATTAGTCGACTGGTTACGACAGAAGGAGAGCCTATTCTTTATTATCTTCAAGATGGACCGGGTAGGGCATTTGTACGAGAAGAGTTGTTCATAGTTCCCGAGGGTACGGTATTACCACCATAACCATAAGCATAGGTAGTTACACCATCCTTATCAATCCATCTCTTTGTATCTAAGGGGGATAATGATGTCTTGTTCATTCTTAATCCATATATCCTATGATTGTAACTTCTTAAAGAGTTCATCTCGTGTTTGAACGTTCTACCGTTGAATAATGATTCTTTATACTGTTCGCTTTTGATATGCTTTTTTACAACATACTTCTTAACGCCCTTAGCTTTTCTTATCCCTCCATTATCGGACTTCTTTATAGAATACATCTTAGGTCTTAATCCGACATACTCCGCTATAGGGGTCCCAGCACATTCATCCTTCATCTTACCTAATACCTTTTTATTTACTACGCTGTGCAGTGGATTATCTTTTGGGTAATCGCTCGTGTCGTACATATCTATTTTTTCTGCCATATCTTTATACACATCCTCGGTTTGTATTTCCATCAACAAAGAATCTGTGTCGGTATATAACACCTCGCATCTATCGCCGTATTGCTTCTTAAGTTTGTTGTAATAAAAGTCATACATTAAGTGTTTTGACAAGTCGAGAATACTCATACCGACGTACACCGGTCTGTTGAATTTTATATTACTCTTCTGCATATGTAACGCGGCTAAGTCGTTATCGAATATCTTGCTTCTGTTAAAAGCCGGACTGGCTATAAGTTTCCTGAGTCTTTCTTCCTCATTAGATCTGACTAATTTAACATCAACACGATTCCTTAGATTCTCCATAGTTTTACCAAATACTGAGTTATTCATGAGCTTATAAAGATTCTTTTCGAAATCGCTGGTAGCTATCTTTCTTAAATCTGTGTTCAACCTTATATAGGGCTCCATCCAAGGGCTTTGATCAAACTTTAGAACTCTGTGTATTTTCTTAAGTTTCATACCTAACGATAGATATAACTGGAGATTTCTGTAGTCAACTATATATTTTGTCTTATCCATGCAATTTGGTACGAGTTTTTCTACGTTAGCTAACCTACTATTACCCATCAAGGAGCGTTGATATTCTGACATCCAATCTTTATTAACCATTAATCTTTCGGGAGCTAGTGGATAACTCTTATGGTCTTTATGTAACGAACTTGGATATTCCAAGTCAACTTCTAGTATGTACCCTTTTTTCGCATCATTCACATTGATATCATCGACCCACTCAAAACCACCCGTGGGTAAAGGTTGACTCATAGCCCATCCGTACAAATTGTTAGCGTCGAGATATAATATGTGCGTGTCGGGTTTACTCAGATCGTATCCTTCCACTAATTTATTATTAGCCTTAGAATACCTTTTTGCTGCCATCGATATACCACCTGTTAATCCTTTCTCAATAAACAAGTGCATATCGTAATCGGTGAGTTTTAGTTCTACGCCGGTCTTCTTCAACAATGCATCCCACGATAGTCCGGGACTGAAATTGTACCATGCTGGGTCCAAGCCGTATTGTTTTAAACATGTCTTTCTAAATATCTCGAATATATCGGCGAGTAACAGTACATCGGTTTTTAAGTAGAGATCGCGATAATCGCCTAAATTCTTACAACCTAATTTATCCCACACCGTCAGAGCGTGTTCATAATCGGCATCTGTTATTTTAGATTCTGTTAAGTTACTATAGAATGATTCAAGGGGTGGTAATTCAGTTTCTTCGAATCCAGACCAATCATCCATATATTCGTAAGGATATACACCTTTTCTCAGCAACAAATGACGAGTTATCTTATCGGTATATTTATTTGTTATCGCAAAGTCATCGGGATTGTTCGCATTAGCTAAATTGTCCAAGGAAGATAACAGAAACTGTACGGAGTCTATAAATCTAAGCCAATTACTTTGCTTTATTCTGGATTTCCCATCCTTGTCCCTATAATGTATAGGTTTAGTCAACGAGAACGATATGTATTTTTCCATATTATTAGGAATGCACCTTAAACCGCCGTCGGTCTTTGAGATAGCTTGCATGATGAGATGTGAATCGTATCCTCTAAGGTTATGAAACACAACGGGGATGGGTATTGTTTGAGAATTCATTTTTAGTTTCAAGTTACACTCGTCATGCGCGGCTCCCCGATAATTACCCGTGACGTGGCAATGATCTCTTACGGAATCCCCATCCAGGGGTTTATTACAAACGTGACAACTCGTTGACTTCTTATGGGCCCTCCAATCATCCCTCGTCATACACACGGGTTTCTTACACGATACATTTTCCCTTATTATTCTCTCTTTGTTTTGTAGATATTCTAGGAACTTTCCCGCTGCATCGGGACCTCTGTAAATCACGGGCGCAGGGGTCCGGAAACCGTCATATGCGCCGGACATGTCCGATTGGGAATCTCAAATGTCCGTTTTAAAATATTGCTTACCGGACATTTTAAAAAGTATTGTCCGGACATTCTTAAATTTTGACCGGACATGATCAACAGTTAGGACTGAGCAGTTTCTGTCTGCAGTTGCAACACAATGAAGATTAACTACACTGACAAGCTTTGTTTGTTTTGATTGCTGTAAATACATCGTACCTACATGATAGTCCAATCGGTCAATCACTGTAATAGGCAATAAACTGAGTTGACACTGATTAATCGAGGATTAATTACTGAGAACATCTTGTTAATTTGAGTGAAAGGTGTTTACAACTGTACATTAATACCTTGCATCATCGATGTACCTCATTATCCTCACAATGCTACGATACGTAACCTCAGACAAGAAGCGAAAGCGTGACGACAGCCAGTCGACCGATGCAGATCAGTCGAGCGGATCTGCCAAACCCTCAAAGTCTGGACGATCATTTTGTAAGTCTTGGCTAACGGCTTTCACTTGGTTGACATACAATGAAGATTTGCAGATTTTATTTTTTTCAGTAGCTAGTCGTATATTGAATCTTGATTGACCGCCATTTTGCTTTCTCTGACGATCGATATCCAATTTTTTTATGGTCAATAATTAAGTACAGATGAAAAAAGTATTCAAATAACTATTGCTATCAACGATATTTTAGTATTTGTGATTAAATTATCTGTCTTGTTTTTAAAAAAATCTTTAGTTTAAAAAAAAACTTTTCCCGTGAGGTCACGTGATAACCAAATATGGGATAATAGTCTCGATCCAAATGTTACAACGAGTACACTTGAGCAGACTCATGAATATAACTCATGAATATTAATTAGACCGTTCACTACGTTAATAGATCGTTATTATAACAGAAACAAACGTATGTTTTCCATGTAAATCTAAAATGATATTATTTGTTATTAATTGTCCGGTGAATTAAACAATTTAAATTGAAACAA